CAAGACTTTTGTGATGAGTTTGGAAAGAGGATGGCTAATTAGTTTGAGATGTCCATGATTGGAGAGTTGAGTTACTTCCTTGGTCTTCAAATCAAGCAATTGAAGAATGGTACATTTGTGAGTCAAGGCAAGTATATCAAGGACATGATCAAGAAGTTTGGCATGAGTGATAGCAAAGCCATTAGTACACCAATGGGAACAAATGGTAACTTGGATAGTGATGCAAGTGGCAATATGGTGGATCAAAAATTGTATCGGTCTATGATTAGAAGCCTACTCTATGTGACCACATCAAGGCCGGGTGTCATGTTTAGTGTATGCATGTGTGCAAGATTTCAAGCCACACCAAGAGAAAGTCATTTGAAGGCTACTAAGAGAATATTGAGGTACTTGAAGCATATACAAAATGTTGGTTTGTGGTATCCCAAAGGAGCAAAGTTTGAGCTAGTTGGTTACTCCAACTCGGATTATGCGGGATGCAAGGTTGAAAGGAAGAGCACCTCAGGCACATGTCAATTGTTGGGAAGATCACTTGTTTCATGGTCATCAAAGAAGCAAAATAGTGTTGCATTATCAACCGCCAAAGCCGAATACATATCCACCGATAGTTGTTGTGCACAAATACTTTGGATGAAGGCCACCTTGAATGACTTTGGAATCAAGTTCAAGAAAGTGCCATTGCTATGTGACAATGAGAGTGCAATCAAGTTGACCAACAATCCGATTCAACATGCAAGAACAAAACACATTGATGTCCGCCACCATTTCATAAGAGATCACCAACAAAAAAGGGACATTTGCATTGAGAGTGTAGGCACCAAAGATCAACTTGCCAATATATTCACCAAGCCATTGGATGAGAAAAGGTTTTGCAAGCTAAGGAATGAGTTGAACATATTGGATTTCTCAAATATGTGTTGATGCACCAATATGTGTTGATGCACCTCCCCACTCATATGACATGCCTCTCCTTCGAGCAATCCAAGGTAAAAGTTGATTGGCATGGCATACATCCTTGCTAAGGACATGTTTAGTGCATCTAGTCATCTTTCACATTTGATAGGCTCATTCATGAAAATCAAATGATTTTGATGATTGTATGGTACCACTATTGCTTCTATGCTTATTTTGGTCTAGTGGTAGCATATGACATATTTGTGGGCTTGTAAACCTAATGTTTGATTTAGAAAATGAGCTCTAAGTGTTTAACTCAACATGGTACAAGATAACCCTTATTTGGAGGTGTGAAGAAGCTTGTCCTTGGATCAAACCGAGTTAAATATCTTTGGCAAATGATCTAGATTGGACCAAATGGGAAAATGATCCTCACCCCATTGATTGACATTGATAATCTCAACCTATCTACTTTTTGAACCCTTGTGGTCATTGATGACAAAGGGGGAAAAACAAAGATATTAGTGATATTAGTACATGGGGAGAAAAATAAAGATATAAGTGATAGAGGAGGGATCAATTAAAATTTTGGAGCACACAAGTAGGGGGAGCAAGCTCATGAACTTGAATGGTGCATTTGAATGTGCATTTCATATGTTTGCTTGCATGGCACAAGTTTTAAAATTTCAATATTCATGCTTGTGTGGTGTATGCTAGTTGTAGGTTTGAATGATGAAATGAAAATCTAGCATGCATAGGTTATCTAGTGATTTCATTTCCAAGTGGTATCGAGCTAACCATGGTGCTAAGGATGGTATAATGGTGCACTCCAATTGGTATCACGCTTCAAAGGTCCATCTTTTATACCTTAGCATCATTTGGTAGACATTGTCTCCTATATTTCCTATCTAAGCATATGTGCAAGCTATAATCCAAACTCTTAGCACATATGTAGGGGGAGCAATTGCTACCATATGGAGTTCATGAAACTTGTCCATATCCTTTTACACATAGTAAATATGCTTGGACAAGCAACATGGATTCCATTGAATTTCAATTCAAATCTTTGTGAAAGGGTTGTCATCAATTACCAAAAAGGGGGAGATTGAAAGCTCTAGTTTGGTTTTGGTGAATTGATGAAACCCTAAGTGCTAATCTAGTTTATCAAGTGATCATGAGATAGGTAGCACATTCCAAGTGGTGAAGCAAATGAAGATCATAACATGATGATGGCGATGCCATGGTGATGATCAAGTGCTTGGACTTGAAAAGAAGAAAGAAAAACAAAAGGCTCAAGGCAAAGGTATAAGTGGTAGGAGCCATTTTTGTTTTGGTGATCGAGACACTTAGTGAGTGTGATCACATTTAGGATCGATAGCCATACTATTAAGAGGGGTGAAACTTGTATCGAAATGCGGTTATCAAAGTGCCACTAGATGCTCTAACTCATTGCATATGCATTTAGGATCTAGTGGAGTGCTAACACCCTTGAAAATGTTTGTGAAAATATGCTAACACATGTGCACAAGGTGATACACTTGGTGGTTGGCACATTTGAGCAAGGGTGAAGAAGATAGAGTTGAAAAGGAGTTAGTCACGCTGGTCACGCAGTGACCAGACGCTGGGGTCCTACGTCCGGTCAGTGGAAGCAGTGAAGACACTGGCGTTGGTCTTTGACCGAATGCTGGGTCACTTAGTGACCGGACATTGATGAGGCACGTCCGGTCTTGCTGACGTGGTAGCACACAGTGAAGAGGGTGACTGACTAGACGCTGGGTGAGTCCGGTCAAGGGTGACCGGACGTGTCCGATCATGAAAAATTGTCCGGTCACAACTAAAATATATTGATGACCATTGAGATTGGGCGATCAGCATTTGAAGCAGGGGCCACGTGGCATGCATCGCACGACTGGACGCTGAGGTCCAGCGTCCGGTCGATCTGATCGGCGCGTCCGGTCGCCCTGTTTTTCAGTGGATTGAGGAGCCAACAGCTCTATTTCGTGGGGGCTTCTATTTAAGCCCCATGGCCAGTTCAAGCTCACTCTCTTAGCCATTTGCATTGACATAGCAACCTTGTGAGCTTAGCCAAAGCCCTCCCACTCATCTCCATCATTGATTCAACATCTTTGTGAGATTGGGAGTGAATCCAAGTGCATTGCTTGAGTGTTTGCATCTAGAGGCACTTGGTGTTCATGTTTCACTATGGGATTCACTTGTTACTCTTGGTGGTTTCCGCCACCTAGATGGCTTGGAGCAGCGAGGATCGTCGAACGGAGGTTGGTGATTGTCTTCGGCTCTGATCATGGTGATTGTGAGGGGTTCTTGACCTTTCCCCGGCGAAGAGCCAAAAGGTACTCTAGTGAATTGCTCATGGCTTGTGTGTGATCATCTTGTGTTGGTTGTGCGGCACCCTATTGAGGGTTTGGCGTGTGATGTCAATTAGCGCGTGAACCTCCAAGTGAGTGAATTGCCACAACGAGGACTAGCTTGCCGGCAAGCAAGTGAACCTCGGTAAAAAAATCATTGTGTCATCATTTGATTCTGAGTTGATTGGTCTTCATTGGTATTCATTCTTGTGATTCATTGGTTCATTCCTCGACTCGGCGGTATAACCATCTTGCTCACTCTCTTTACATTACCGCAAACTAGTTGTCAAGCTCTTTAGTGTAGCTAGTTGTGAGAGCTTGTTAGTTTGGTTAGTGTGGCTCTTTAGTTAGCCTTTGAGAGCACACTAACTTAGTATAGTGGCATAGCTATTGTGTGGTTAGAAACTATAGAAACTAGAATTGTGGTAGGTGACTTGCATTTTTAGTAGGCTAGCGCAACACTTGCTTCGCCTCATAATTGTCTAACCGGTTTGCTAAGTGTTATTGTACAAATTTTTAATAGGCTATTCACCCCCCTCCCTCTAGCCATTAGGACCTTTCAGACAACCTGTTACATCCACCAATACCCATACCATATCCCTGCCCTGTCTCCATTTTTCCTTTCATCCTTTTATTATGAGAGTAATAATAATCTCCTATTGTGAGCAACGGCAGGTTACTCATGCTACCAAATGACCTAAGCATAGCATCTACTCGAACCTGCACTAGTAAGACTCTTAGGACGGGTATATCTATGCATGTGGGTTCCATAAATGTAACACCCCTGGTGTTACGAGCTCGCTAAGCACTAAGATTATGGCTTGAGAGATAGATCTATCAATATAGAGAGTTAGTTATGTAAATGCCTATATGTGTTAATGAAAACAAATCCTAATGCGAAGAGTAGAATAAGTAGTTCTAAACATTGGCATGGAAGCAAATTTTTATAAACAAAAATACAATATGACTTGTATATAGTATTTAAATAAAATTCGAATGTGTAGGTCTAGTAGATGGAAATGCAACTTTTGTTTCGGTAAATAAATATCATTCAATAGTATTTTGATAGATCGAGGATTGAAGTTGGATTTTAATTCTAGCCTCTAGAACTAAAATGATCTAGCCTAAAAACCTAATGATGATGTCATTTTGGCATTTAAATTTTGATTAAATTTCTTAAACACTAGATTCATGTTTTTGCACTGTTGGTTGTTCCAAGGTGAGCACTCGAGAATGGTGTAGGTTATAGTCGTGTTGAGTGTCACGTGGATCTCGGAAAAATTTGCCTAAGTTCATTAGAACGCGCTGCGTGCTCTGTGTCAATGCTCTATCGCGAACCGGAACTTCGAAGATGACTCATCTTGGCACGCATGTATCTTCCTCTTGGGTGGTCCTTTTGCTGTGCGGATTGCTCCATTAGATAGCTGATAAGATCAACTTTAGAGTTGTGGAATTAGTTAAACCTCAATCATGATCGTTAGCAGTTTTTTGTTCGCTTTAAAACTCGTGCGTAGCTGCTGTCGACTGTAATGTCGTCCGCGCGCGCATGCTAGGTGGTGCTCTTGTCCGTTGTTGTTCGGTCACTGCAGCGCTCGCTCTCAGCCACTCATCTCACCTACCTCATCCCTGTCTAACGCGTGCGTTAATGAGGAGAGGACTGAGCCACTGCTGCCTACTTCCCTCTCTGCCTCCCCCTCGCGTTCTCCCTCTCGCTCTGTTGCTCATCATGAGCACACCGCCATGACTGAGCAGAGCAAGCTAGCCACCACCCAAGCTCCTTGCTGCTGCTCGTTCTCCCTATTCCATCCCTACACCACCTCCTCGCTCGCAGAGCAAAGCAAACAAAGAAGAAGCCAACCAGTAGAGAAGAAGCAGGGAAGGCGAGAGGTGAGGAGGTGGCGCCTGAAGCAGCAATGGGAACGGACCTGGGGTTTGAGGAGAAGGAGCTCTGGCAAGAGGGGCTTTGCTGAGACCATCAACCTCAAGCTGAAGCTGGAGCCGGCGACCCCCGCGGCCGTCGTGAAGGCGGAAGAGGACCAGCAGGACGACGGTGCTGCCATTACCACCGCCAAGGAAGCCGTGGCTGCCGTGGAGGAGGCCAGCGGGAAGATGAAGCGGTCCCCACGCTAGAGCAGCGTCATCACCGCTGCCGCCGCCGCCATGCAGGCTGACCCCACCGAGAAGCCGCACACCCCCAAGTACGTCGCTGAGCACTTGTTTATCCTCCCTGTTGTCTCTCCCTCTCCAGCTTCGTTCGTTGATCTAGCTATCTCTGCTTAGCTCCGGACGTACATGCATGCATGCTTAGCTCTCTAATCGATCGTCTCATGTCTGCATGCACCTGCCATGATCAGTTCTTTTGTTTGTTCATATATATATATATATATATATATATATATATATATATATATATATAGCTCTCTAATCGCTTGAATGGACTAATCTCTCTTGAGATCAGTTCATTTGTTTGTTCATATATATAGCAAAGATCGATGCAACGGCCAATGCCAGGGGAAAGCACACAAACTTTTCTTTTTTTCATGCAGCAAGTTAGAACAACACAGGATGGATCTAGAGAGAGAGAGCGCGCGCGCGCGCGCACACACACACACACACACACACACACACACACATATATATATATATAACAGTTAATAATTAACCATGCATTCTTGTTTATCGAAGAACACGATGCGTGAATGCATATATCTACCTATCTATCATCGCAACAGCTGCCAGCTGATTGAACGGATATGATATGAACTAGTACACTATTAGCAGCAGATGATCGAGCGATGCAGGATCAGAGGAGGAGAGACATGGGCATGTTACGTGTGGGGGCAGGGAGACAGCGGCTAGTGCCGACACAATAAAAGAAAGAAAGCCCCCACCACGTGCTGCTGCTGCCTGTTGGTCCTTTGCTTTGCTCTAATCCCTCTCTCTCTTACTAGATCTCTTTCCCTGGCTGGCACAGTAACAGTGTCATTTTTGTCCACATCAACATCATTTTCCACATCTCACTTTCACTTGCCTGTTCGTTCATGCATCCTGATCGATCGCTCCAGGCTTCGAATTGATGGCACGGTAGAACAGAGAGCTACTAGTAGGTTTTTAAATATACATTTAATCAATTCAATGTCAAAAATAATTGGGGGTTGGGAGAACAAAAACATTTTCTAGGAATGAGTCTTACTTGACAACGTGGATACGTAGACTAGCATGTTAGAGCTATCTCATTAGCTTATGAGGTGTAATCAAATTTCTAAGAGTTTCGGTTGTCGTTGATTATTTACATCTATGTGTTGCATCCACGTATATCATAATAGGAACAACGATGAATCGTGGAGATGACCAGAGTAGCAGAAGAGATGGTGCCTTGGTGATCGTGTCGCCACGATGGAAAGCTAACTTGGTTATATCTTACCCAGGCAAGCCCCGGTGCATAACCCCTATTATTCTGCACTTTAATTTATGCTTGTGCGTTAAGTTTAAGGAGTTGAATGAAACCCACTTGCATATATATATCCTTATCCTATGAGTTTGTAACACCCTAAAATTTGAATAAACTTAAATTGGCTAAATGGATTTATTTTTATTTATGAGAGCATTTCACATAGGCCAAATAGTAAATTTATAAAAATAAAATCAATCTCCAAGTTAGATACATGCTTGAGCATTCATGCTGGTGCATATTTTTTTTTTATTGTGATAATTGGCTTTTATCCAAAAATTCAAAAGGAATTCAAATCTATTTGAAATTGTATTCAAAATGCTTGAGAGAAAAAAAAATAAAAGCCTCCCTTTTCTCCTTGCCTGGTATTTGGCCCGGTAGACCTGCTCCCTTCCTCCCCGGCCCATTTGTGAGCCGGCCTTCCCTTCCTTTTTCTTCTTGGGCCGAGGCCAAGGCCCAGCATGCACTGGCAGCAGCCGCTTCTTTCTTCCTTGTGCCATGGCAGCTGGGGGCCCGCACCTCATCTTCCTCCTCCGGTTCGGTGTCGAACTCAAGTCCGACCGAATCGCAGTCCACGCGCCAGGGCGCCCGCGCCACGTCCTGCCCCTATAAAGGCCGAATCTCCGCGCCCACAATCTGTTTTCCCGAGAGCCCTAAGCGCATGCGCGCCGCCTCGCTTCGAGCACCTCGCGAGCCGCAACCCTAAGCCGCCATTGCCGCCTTCGATTCCGCCGTCTCGCCGCTTCGTTTGACGCCCGTATGCAAGTCAGGGCCGCGCGTCGTGTCTGAAGCCGCTTAGCCTTTTTCTCTTCCTTTTCGCTCTGTTTTGCTCGCTAATATTCACAGCCATTGCGGTGTGCCGCCGTCCATTGTCGACAGCCCCACGCCGCCTCGGGTTCCTTCGGTCTCCATCTTCGCGTCGGTGAGAGCCCCATCCTTCCCCGGTTCGATCCGCACGGTGCGAGTCTCTGGTGCCTTTGAATCGCGGAACAAGTTCCGCCGACGAGCTTGATGGCTGCCCGATGGCAACCACCCGCGGAGGTCTTCTTTCTCCGGTCGGCAGCGCCGCCCCTCCCTCCCGATCTAATCCGGTCCGTTCGGATTGGATCCAACGGTCCGAATCGCACCGTACCCCTTCGGGTGGCCTTTTGGCTAAAGAGCCCCTGGGTTCTTTAGATGTTGAACCCGCGGTCCAAAGCGGATTCCATAGAATACGCTTTCTCTTTTGGAAAACGTATTTTTCATTTAACTGATTCAAGAATCAAGTTCCATCTAATTACAGTTTTGCCACTACCTTTAATTGCTCATAACTTATTCGTTCTAACTCCAAATCGAACCATTCAACTTGCGTTAGATTCATCTTTTCGAGATCTATCTGTTCATATAGTTTTTCACCATGTTTTTGAACTTTAAATTTCGAGTTTATATTTAATCTATTTCTTTAATAGGAAAACTTGTTTTAATCATAACTTTCTCGTCGTAATTCCGTTTTTCGTGATCCTCGCGTTTATATGATCGTAGTGACAAGTAGAATGTTTTTATACACTTTTCAAACTGTTTTATTTCTGGTGGTGTACTGTTCTAATTAAATCTATTTGTTTGCCTCGTGTATGATTGCTCGGATGATTGTATGTTGCTGCTTGGTGTTGTTGATCGAGTTCAGACGGTGAGGTTTACGTTGGTGAACAAGAGAACTTCTACGACCAGCAAGACCAGCAAGATTTTCAGGGGAACTTTGATCAAGGCAAGTATAGCTAAGGACCTTCCTTGTTGTCCTATTCATGATGCTCACTAAAATACATATGCATGCGTCTTCCTTGCTACCTATGGTAGGAATTCCTAGATTTTGAACACTCAGTTACCTTGTCACCTTGGGAGGGTTGCATTGGGTAGTTCTATTGCTAGTGCAACGAAACATGATCTTGAAACTTGATTAATGAATATGCTATAAACACATACAAGATGACTTTATAGCAATAGAAGGACTTGTCTTGTAACTGATTATCCGGGATTAACGTACAGCTGTGAGGGCTATATGGCTCTGGCTCTAGTTATTTGAGAAACCCTTTTCTAGCTGGTTAGAGGTCTGCGAGTTGGGTATAGGACAGCCTTCGTCTGTTGTGCCTAGCTTTGGAAGCGGCCTTTTATATTATTGGAAGGGGGGTTCCTATATCTGATGACCCTGCGACCCTGGCCGGTTAGACGAGTTCTTGGGTGGCTCTATATGGTTTCCGGTGTTTTGGGAGTAATTAACCCACTCATTTGGAAAACATGACTCACAGTGAAAGTGTACACCTCTGCGCAGAGTTAACAAAGCTGGTATACTAGCCGTGCTCACGGACACTGAGCTGGCCTTGGGACACTTACATAAGAGATGATGACTTTTACTTGTTAAGATGATCATTTATGTTAATTGTTTAAGATATTGATTATTCATGTTCATTGATTATGTGTTAAGGGATTATTGCTATCTTGATGTTAATAAATGCTAAACTTGATGATGACTTAAATGCTAACCGCATGAAACGAAAGGTCGACTATTTGAGCCTCATGAACCCTTAGTTATCTTGTTAAGTACGACATGTACTTATGCCTTGCTTTATCTTTTATATTGGAAAAATCCCGGATGGGTAACAGATCAAGATTGGATTGAAGATTACCGTGATTTGAGTATTAGGCTTGGTGTTCACCAGTTAGCGCCCCTGTTGGAGCTTCCGCCAAATGAGTTATCTTAGTAGCTATTATATCTATATGTGTGAGACTATGTGATGAATAATTATTCGCTATGTAATAAACATTGTGATGGTACAATTTACAATTTGTCCACTTATGTGTGCGATTGTTCTGGGGTGCACATAAGACTTTTTACACATCCTCTTTTGTTCTTAAAATTGGGTGTGTGATTGGTATCAAAGCATTGTTGGATTGTGAGGGACTTAAGCCTAGTTAGAATGGTCGTTTTAGCTTCCTTTGCTTCACTTGTTTCATGCTTTCCACCTCGAACTTGCTATTTGCTAAATTTTTGTGCTTCTTTTGTCTTATTCTATTATAAAATCAATTGATTCTAATCTAATTAACTTGAAACTTCTGTAGATGACACGTGACCGCAAGTCTGCCCGCTTGTACGTTGGATGCTTTCAACCACAGCGTGCTGTGTATGAGCCAATGGAGCCTAGAGAGGACGTCCAGGGGAAAAACTGGAAGATTGAGGTTGGAGAAGAGGTCCATTCTTCTTCAACTCCGATAGCTCAATCCCCAGCATGTGTGGAGGCCATTGACTTGACCAACGATGATGAAGATGAAGTACTCCAGCCACTGCCTCGCATGGGTTGGGTGACAAGTCAAGCATCAAGCCGGATGACAATGCCTTCTATCATGACTTTGTCGACATTGATGTTGGAGTATTATTATCCAGACTTGCAAGCCACCACGGAGTATCACACTACGAACACATCACCCTCCGATTGGTTCATCTTGGGATACTCGGTTGTTGATCGGGACTCGAATACTCGCAGGATAGATGCAGTTGTCACCCACCGTGTAAGTCGAGCTACCGCGGAAAGAAGCATGGAGGATCTGCTTCCATTGCACTTGCCTACTACCGTGGCCGCCTCTCTCGATGATAAGAAGGACGATGGACTTTTGTATTATCCATGCTATCTTCCGAAGGAAAATAGTT